AAAAAAAAAAGGCAAGGAGCAATGGTACCACGGCCCGCACACAGAGTCATTTCAGTGTAATTGACTGTGACGGTCTTCATTTCTTGCCCTTGTTTCTGCTTCTCCATCTTTTCTATTCTGCTTATTTGAATCTCGCCTTTCATGGAAGAGGCTGCCCTTAGCTGCTTGCTCACACTTACCCGCGAAAGCATTAACGTGCTGAATGGGAATCTGGGGACAAAGGCTGTCCCAGGGCAGCCCCCGCCCGCCCGCCCTGATGGAGCAGGGCCCCGTCTGTCTTGTTAGTCACCTGCAAATAGAACATAGTAGCTGCCCGTAAATTAGAGCTCTCTGAGCCACAATTTTCTTATCAGAAAATGGAGTGAAACATTTACCCGGCAGATGTCCTAAGAATAGATGAACAGCATCTGACATGGTGCTAGTGTTTAGCAGACACTTGGCAAATAACTGGCAGCAAGATGATGATGATGGTGGTGGTGGTGATGATGATGATATCATTTCTAGGGATGGCATCAAGGCAGCTGCACATAACCATTTGTGGTCCCCACTGACCATGCAAAATACAGAGGCAAAGCACCACTGAGAGGTCAATTGTTCTTGTTTTTGTTTTTTTGAGACAGAGTCTCACTTTGTCACCCTCAGTAGAGTGCCATGGTGTCACAGCTCACAGCAATCTCCAACTTAAGTAAATTCTCTTGCCTCAGTCTCCTGAGTAGTGGGGACTACAGGCACCCACCACAACACCCAGCTATTTTTGTTTCAGTTTCCTTGCCAGGGCCAGTTTCAAACCCACCACCTGGGGCATATGGGCCCAGTGCTCTGCCCACTGAGCCACAGGCGCCGTCAACTCGAAATGTCAATGTTATAACAACCTTTGAAGTTCAATGTGTAGGCTCGGCGCCTGTAGCTCAACCGGCTAAGGCGCCAGCCACGTACACCTAAGGTGGCGGGTTCGAATCCCCAGCCTGGACCCGCCAAAACAACAATGATGGCTGCAACCAAACAAAATAGCCGGGCGTTGTGGCGGGTGCCTGTGGTCCCAGCTACCTGGGAGGCGGAGGCAGGAGACTCGCTTGAGCCCAGGAGCTGGAGGTTGCTGTGAGCTGTAATGCCACGGCACTCTGCCCAGAGGGACAGCTTGAGGCTCTGTCTCAAAAAAAAAAAAAAAAAAAAAAGAAGTTCAATGTGTAAAAATTCCAAGAACACTGACTTCAGTGTAATCTTGTGAGCAGGAAGTGGTGATGCCACATCTCCAAACTGTTCTGCAAAGCCGCCACTCACGTGGAACACTCCTGCACAAGTCTGCCTGCTTGGAGCAGTTTGGTAGCAAAGCTAGTGGGATGTGCTAAGGCCCCCCCATACGCCCAGACACTCCGTCCAGAGAGCCAGCAGGGTGATTGGTTGGGGCTGTTGGACTAGAGTATTTAAATTTAAAGTAGTGTATGTCTATAGTTTGGGTTGTTTTTTTTTGAGACAGAGTCTCACTCTGTCACCCTGAGTAGAGTGCTGTGGAGTCCTAGCTCACAGCAACCTCAAACTTCTGAGCTCAAGTGATCCTCTTGTGCTCAGCACCTGTGGCTCAAGTGGCTAAGGCATCAGTCACATACACCTGAGCTGGCAGGTTCAAATCCAGCCTGGGCCCACCAAACAACAATGACAGCTGCAACCAAAACAGCCAGGCATTGTGGATGGGCACCTGTAGTCCTAGCTACTTGGGAGGCAGAGGCAGGAGAATAGCTTGAGCCCAGAAGTTGGGGGTTGCTGTGAACTGTGATGCCACAACACCCTACCCAGGGTGACAGCTTGAGATCCTCTTGCCTCAGCCTCCCAAGTAGTTGGGACCACAGGTGCCCACCCACCTTGGCCTCCCAGAGTACTGGGATTATAGGCGTGAGCCACTGTGTCCAGCCTAGAGTGTTTTTGTTTTTTTTTTTTAATCAAGCAGTGCAAAAGGAGGTAAATGGAAAAGTTAGCATCCCTACCACCCCTTGATTTCCAGGCAGACTCCCCAGTTAGTCAGTTATTTCTTACAGATATTTTTATGCACACAGAAAGCTATATGCATATTTCCCCACAGATGGAACCATAAGAAACTGTTCTGAGATTTGCTTGTTTCTCGTCTCCACTTCACCCGCCTGGAGTAGCTTCCCATATTAGTGTGTGCAGATTTACCTCCGTATTTCTCACAACTGCTCTATTTATAAGACAACTTATTTCTCATTTACCTTAACTCAAGTGGAGAACAGGGGAAGGCTCTGCTCCTAGCACTGATTCAGAAATCAGTGGGCAGGACCTGCCACTTTCAGCATCTGACCTCCACATGCCTGTGGCTAAAGTCACCCCGGGTAACATTGCCAGCCAGCAGACGGAGAAGGGCTAGAAGTTTGTTTGTTTAGTTTTTTTGGTTGGTTTTTTGGAGACAGAGTCCCACTATGTTGCCCTTGGTACAGTGCTGTGGCCTCACAGCTCACAGCAACCTCAAACCCTTCGGATTAAGCAATTCTCTTGTCTCAGCCTCCCAAGTAGCTGGAGCTACAAGTGCCCGCCCTAATTAGCTGACCTGGACTGGGTTAGAACCCGCCAACTTCAGTGTATGTGGCTGGCACCAAGCCCAGACGTTTGTTTTATAATGAGCCACATCTGGACAGGGCACAATGACTCGCTCCTGTAATTCCAGCACTCTGGGAGGCCGAGGTGGGTGGATCCTTTGAGCTCAGGAGTTTGAGACCAGCCTGAGCAAGAGTGAAACCCACATCTCTACTAAAAATAAAACACTAGCTGGACGTGGTGATGGGCGTCTGTAGTCCCAGCTACTCAGGAGGCTGTGGCAGGAGGATCATTCAAGCCCAGGAGTTTGAAGATGCTATGAGCTATGATGTTACAATACTCTACCCAGGGTGACAGTGTGAGGCTCTGTCTAAATAAATAAATCTAATCTTGCCATTCAAATCTATCTTCTGTCTAAAAAAAAAAAAAAAAATGAGCCACATCTAGAAGTGACATCTCATACTTCTGCCCACATCTGGTGGTCAGAACCTGAAGAGCTGCGCCCTAGGTAAGTGCTGGAAGTCCTGCTGGACAGCTGGGCTACAACCAGGCTGCAGAGGGAGGACTCAAACCTTAAACAGACAGTCACTGCATCTGGAGCAGCGGCTCTGCAGGAAACCTCTGGATTTATTTAAGCTTTAAAAAGCTAGTTTTCTTCTCTTTCTTCTGCCTTTCTACTTGTCTTTTCTCAAAGGCAAGATTTTTGTTTTTGTTTTTATTTTTTAGGCCAGGGCTGGGTTTGAATCTGGCATATGGGACGGCGCCCTACCCCTTTGAGCCATAGGTGCCACCCTGTTTTGTTTTGTTTTTTTGCAGTTTTTGGCTGGGGCCACCATCTCCGGTATTTGGGGCCAGCGCCCTATTCCTTTGAGCCACAGGCACTGCCCTCAAAGGCAAGTTTTTAAAGTGTGGAAAGATATCACCTAATAAGAATGAAGAAATAAGAAAATGGGCACCTATAATCATTACTAGTGGGCACATGCACTGTTCAGATTCCATGGGGTAGGGAGGAGACGTCCATGAAAAAACCCGTACAGGATGCATGCCTTTACAATGAGTAAGGAGGTTTCCTAAAGAAATTAGTAGACCACAGCCCACATATGTGTGTTCAAGGACATTTATGAACAGTCAGACAACCAGTTAATCACTAACACTGTGCAGGTGTTTAAAGCAATTGTGGAGACACCTGCAACCATAAAAATATCCATGATAAGCCAGGCTCAGTGGCTCACGCCTGTAATCCCAGCCAGCACGCGGGAGTCCAAAGCCAGTGGACTGCCTGAGCTCACAGGTTTGAGACCAGCCTAAGCCAGAGTGAGACCCCCCCTCTCTAAAAATAGCTGTGCATCATGGGGGCACCTGTAGCTCCAGTTACTCAGGAGGCTAAGGCAGCAAATAGTTTACGCCCAGGAATTTGAGGTTTCTATGAGCTGTGGTGCCACGATACTCTACCAAGGGTAACAAAGTGAGACTCTGTCTCAGAAAGAAAAAAAAAATTGTCCATGATATGTTATGATTAAAAAAAAAATAAGACTCTAAATTGCAAATTTTTAAAACAAATTGATGCCTATAGCAAAAAGGCCAAAGGACAAATCAAATGTTCACAGGATTTTTAACAGAGAAGTATATAATCGAGGGTGTTTTTCACTTTCTTCTTTTACACCTTTATGTAATGTATCAATATTTTGTCATCAGAAAAAAGCCACCAAAGCTATTTTTATCTTGAAAAAAATTTTTTAAAGTAGATAAAGGAGCCTGGGGCTTAGGTGATTAAAGGCAGGCATGTGAGATAGACGTGGCCTGCTGGCCCCGCCTGTGTGCTGGACCTGTCGCCTGACACTCAGGCTGCTATCAGGAGCACTTTTCCCTGTCAAGCAGACTGGTTTCTGTCATGAAGTCCCAGGTTATAATGGGGGAGGACAGGCCCCAGAGCAGTGGCAGAGCCAGCCCCACTCGAGGTGGCCTCCTCATGGGGAACACCATCAGGGCCCTAGTGGCCTTTATCCCTGCTGAGCACTGCCAGAGCTACGTGGTTGGAGACCTTCGCGAGATGCCACTGGACAGGATGGTGGACCTGAGCGGGAGCCAGCTGCGCCGCCTCCCCCTGCACCTGTGCTCCTTTGGGGCACTGGTCAAGCTCTACCTGAGTGACAACCACCTGCACAGCCTGCCTCCGGAGCTGGGCCAGCTGCAGAACCTGCAGATCCTGGCCTTGGACTTCAACAACTTCAAGACTCTGCCCCAGGTGGTGTGCACCCTGAAACACCTCTGCATCCTCTACCTAGGCAACAACAAGCTCTGTGACCTCCCCAGCGAGCTGAGCCTGCTCCAGAACCTGCGGACCCTGTGGATTGAGGCCAACCACCTCACCCAGCTGCCGGACGTGGTCTGCGAGCTGAGGCTCCTTAAGACTCTGCATGCGGGCTCCAATGCCCTGCGTGTGCTGCCAGGCCAGCTCCAGCGCCTCCAGGAGTTAAGGACTATCTGGCTGTCGGGCAACCTGCTGACCAGCTTCCCCCCTGTGCTGCTTCACATGCCCTTCCTGGAGGTGATCGACGTGGACCGGAACTGCATCCAGCACTTCCCCAGCCTGGCCCACCTCTCGAGCCTGAAGCTGGTCATCTATGACCACAATCCTTGTAGGAATGCACCTAAGGTGGCCAAAGGTGTGCGCCGAGTGGGAAGATGGGCAGAGGAGACACCGGAGCCTGACCCCAGAAAAGCCCGGCGTTATGCACTAGTCAAAGAGGACAGCCAAGAGCCACAGACCCCTGCCCCATCTCCCCCAACCCCTCCTGCCAACTCCTAAGGAGCTTCACTTACAGGTCAATGCCAAGAATGTTCCAGAGAGCTCTTCATTAGAGTGGACAGGACTGCTCTGGGTCTTCTCGGGTGACTCTACCAGCAGGGGCTTTTGGAAAGCCAGGTGACATGCAGTCACTTCCCACAGAGAAAGCAGCATCTCTCCAGAGGGACATTGTCGCACTACTGATGACATGACGACCCAGAGTGACCATAACTCCTTTACAAGAAAATGGCTTCTCCAGGCCGGTATTTTGAAATACTGAAGAGCCTGGGATGGGACACTTAGGCCCAGAGTGGCTGGTCGTGGGGCTCAAGAGCTCTTCAAATAAGGTATTTTTTATAGAACTCACTAAATGCACAGGCGACCCGCCCCTTGCAGGATGTAGTTTCTTTGCTATGAATGACCATAGTGAGTATCAATGCATTGTTACTGATTCAGGCCATGGCCCCCGAGTCACACTCACAGAAAAAAGGATTTTGTCACAAAAGCTCAAGATGCAATTTCTCCTGCAGCAGCTCAGTGCCTGCTGAAAAGAGCCCTGACTGGGAATGCCTCTTGGTGGAGTCCAGCTGCCTCTAAACTTGACAGTGGTTCGTGTTGATTTAGTTATTTGCCCTAAAAGGTTTGACCCCTCCCAACAGTGTCCTGTCACTGACATTGGAAGCCCTCTGGAAAGCAGACCCTCTCGGTGGCAGTGCAGGCTCACTCCAGTCAAGCCTCATCCTGGTCCCGGGGGCTTCCCCACAGAGCTCCTGCTCCTTCACACTAACAAGCCAGAACAGAGCTGAACTGGATCCACATCCTCAGAGGGAAGCCACACTTCAAGATTCCTGTTAGGTTAAAGGTAATAGGTGAGAAATCTGTTCACTTGAAGTAAACACTTTGAGCGGAAAATGTTCTTCTGAGCAAAGTATCACAAGAATGGAAGAAAAAGTATCCAATGTACACACCCCTATTATGAAACTAATTTATACCTTTTATATGTAAGCTATAACCTAATAACAGCCTAAAAATATGGGAAGGGGGGAGGGAGAGGGGAGGGGGAATGGGTGGAGGGAGCGGGAT